TGATTTTCCATAAAAGTTATACGTTATAAAACTTAATATTTTTATGGAATTTTTATATCAAATTTTTTATTGGGAAGGTAAGAAGCACAGAAGGACAAATTAACTGATTGTCAATGATAAGAAGCGTGAAAGGAAGTGTGCTCAAAAAAAGATAACTTCTACTAACCATTATTCTGAAAGTCATGAAAATTCTTATGATAATGTTGATGATAAGCTTGATAAAACATCGAAAGATCATACACATTATTTATTATCTAATCCTATATCAATTTATTATCATAACACAGACTCAGAAAGTTCTAAGGATAATATTAAAAAGAATAAAATAACGGATAGTATCTCTTCACAAGGTGTACTCACTTATTTTTCAATCATGTAATGCTAAAGAAAGATATACAAAAGGTGAAAAACAAATCAATGAGAAACAAAAATTAATTTTTATATATTTCAAAAAAGGGTCAGAGTCTGAAGATCATAATCTATTACTACCTGATTCAGATAACAAAGAATCAAAGCCTCTTAAGAAAATTCATATTTCTGATTTTGATAAGTTGACATCACAAAGGACAACTGGATCATGCAAAGCCAAATCATCAAAAAGATCATTGAAACAAACTCTTATGTTAGGTGATTTAACGTATATTTATAAAAATATAATTATCTATTTTATTCGAAAACAAGCTATACCACTACTTGATTTTTATAATTATAGAGAAAGTGAAATAAAACTGCAATAAACTGTGCCTCGTAGATTCTTTTGAAATAAGCGTTCAATCAATGATGTTAATAAAACTGGTAAAAGATAATAGGAAAAAATACGATCGCTTGATTTTAAAGATTCTATACTTGTATATTAGCATTGCTGTAATGTTATGTAAAATAAATTCGTAAAATGGTTATAATATGTATAACAATTATATAATAATATACATTTACAAATCGAACAAATATTATCCAAATAGAGATACATTTATAACATAAAGTAAACAAATATATGACCATAAATTATCCAAATAGAGCTCATTTTTCTTAAATTTAACATTCATAATATAGTTAAAATATGATTATAATATGGCTATAATACAGACCCCCGCCAAAAGTCTCCGAACGCTTTTTGACTCAATGTAAAACTTAAAATTTTAAAGTTTATTAAAAAA